TTGTGTCTCATTTAATGACTTTCATACTTTTATTTGAAAATAAAGCGCACTATGTTTTTTTAAATCTGCGAACGACAAGTAGAATAATGAATACGGGTTGACAGAACCTGTTGTATTGATGAAAAGCAGACATTTTGTTACCCTGTATTGAGATATTGTTGATTTTAATCGTCGGTGATTTCCTAGTGTTAACAGAAGTGTATGAGGTGATGGAGAGGGGCAGTGCTATTGAACTCATGGATGTTTTTTTTAAATATTATTCGCGTTTGTCATATAAGTTTGTATGGGAGGAATTATCGGATTCAGATTGTTATTGATGGCACTTTCAGTGTAGAATAATAAACAAGTGCCTATTGATGTTTTTTAAAACTTGATCAATATATTTATGAACTTCGATGGAAGTGCAGTTTCACCTATATGGACAGATTCTTTATTTGGGCGACTGAAAAAAAAGAAAAGCGTTGATAATGATTGTAATTTACTGTTCATGTATCTTGTTGAACAATGTTAGAATTTTGATTAATAAATACTATAAGCTATTATGGATCGACTTTTGAAATGAATGGCTACTGATTTCAATGAAGTATCTGATGGTAGCATACATTTATATGCTCATGCAATCGACTGGCTCTTTTATCGGTGTATTCAGCGTGTGTCTTTTCTGATTTTTTTAAAGGTTTTGTATTGTTTTAATAACAGTGAAATATGCAGTTCATATAAATTTTATTAGGAAGTGGGTGGGTGTGTGGGTGTGGGTGTGGATGTGGGTGTGGGTATGTGTATGGGTGTGGGTGTGGGTATATGGATATGGGTATGTCGGTATGGAGGTGTGTGGGTGTGGAGTGTGGGTATGGTTTGTGGGTGTGGGTGTGGACGTGTGAGTGTTGGGTAAGCGTGGGTATGGTTTGTGGGTGTGGGTGTGCAAGAGTGAGTGTCGGGTGGGCGTGGGTATGGGGTTTCGGTGTGGGGTGTAGGTATAGTTATGAGAGTGTGGGGGTGTGGGTGTAGGTGTTGCTGTAGTTTTCTTTATGAACAACGACACACATCGCGCACCCACACTTTGCATTGAATAATGATCTGAGTTAGAAATACCATCTACTTTTATTGTTAAATGAACACGTATATCATGAAGATTAAGGCTAATTGATCTGATATTGGAATTGAACGAATATATCGTATGTATGAGATTTTATTAGTTGAGTTACATTTACATTTGCAAAGAGTTTAATCAAATATCAATTTTTAAGATAAGCTTCTGATTTAGATGTTTATGTAGAATTATCAGAAATTAACATTGGCAGATCAAGTAATAACTTCATTCACGAAAATAAAAAACTCAATTGTCATTCAATTACAGCTATCCGAGTTTGTTAGGTTATTGATGCTGAATGAGGAGAAAAAGCTGTTAGCGCAATCCCTTGCAGGATTAAAAGTGTGAAACACGATGGACCTATTGATACGAATTAAATGGACATCGTTTTCTTCAATTTGTTTACGATAGATTTGTAGCTGACAGTTTATTTGATGCTTCAAACCCACAGTTTCTCAGTTACGGCTTGTGACGGTGTTTGGGAGTTCTCTGTCACGGTCTGTGATGGTTACTAGGGTTTCTCTGTCACGGTCTGTGATGGGTATCGAATTTCTCTGTCACGGTCTTTGTGAGTGGGGAGGGGGGTGCAAATTTTTGCCCCTAAACACTTCAACACTCCTTTCAGATCGTGTTTCACAAAATATGGATGTGGATGTGAAAGTTAGTTTGATTCTTGTTTTTATTTACATATAGTTCTTAATCACTGCCACAATTACACCTATACTCATGATTCTAGTCGAACATCATCATCTATTATCATTAATATCAATTCAATCATTTATTCGTCAGTGTTTTTTCTGTTGCAGATTCGTAAATAAATTCAAATCATATTAATTATATTTGTTGAGCGAAGTTTGTTTTGAAGAAAGCAAGTCGCTTTCGTTTCATCATTCTATTCTTGAAATTCGTTCACTTAATGAAATCTTGAATACTAATGAATGCAACTCTCTTTCGCCGAAGTTTCTATTATTTTATATGCAGCAAAACAATGGCATGGCACATTCTCTTTTGTTGACATAAGACAAGAAGAAAAAAAAACCTTGAAAGTCAAATAAAAATAGTGAATAAAATAACTGAGCAACACAACTGCCATAAACAAGGAATATTTGTACAGGTAAGGTTGTCTAGATGTTTGTTAGCTACGTTTCATTGTTGGTCTCCTAAGTAAGAGGGCGTCCTTTTTTTAACTCATTTAGCAACATGATTTCATTAGTCTCCTTCGCTTTTTAATTAAACTGCCCAACATACGATATAAAAAATGTAAAATAAAAATCAACAAATAAATGATTTTCATCGATTTCAAGATTAGTTAATTGATAAAAATCGAGAATTTTTGATTCTTTTGGATTCCATTGAAGATTATAGTCGATTTATCTACATGATTGATTCAAATAAAATCGATTATTACCAGATATAATCGGTTTGCTACGATATTTTATTAATCAATTACAATCAACTTCTAGGGATAATCAATTTTAATCAGTATTTGATAAATTTTTGATCGTCTAAAATCAACTATTAAGAATTATAGTTTGCTAAAAGTGATAAAAAGTATCTAAGAAAATCAGTCACTATAGAATATCGACGATGGGGTGATATTTCAGAATTCGCGAATTGTTTTGTGTTATAGAGAATAGTTAGTTTAATATTTCGGTGAAACTTTTCACTCGATCAGATCATCTTTTACAATACGAGCAATCCAAATACTAACGAAATTTTTCGTAATTTTGTTATGTTGTTTTTTAATCCATTCGTGATGTTTATCTTTACCAGAAGTGATTTTTTTATTTCAATTTTTCTAACAATAACTACTGAGATATTCTTCATTTTGGTACAAAAATTCAAAATATTTCCTCAATTCCATAAGACCTTCGAGAATACTCTCAAAAAATCTATTTTATCGTTTTTTTTTCTAGCAAAAATGTTGGTCAGTCATATATTATGCGGCAAGAGCTAATCGCATCGATATATCTACTGATGATAGAGCATATCAAGTTCCTCTACTTCAACTATCGCATAGTTTCGATCCTCGAGAAGAATTAAATCACTTTTGATTAGAAGTCAATGTTTTTTTCAATCCATGTTATACAATCAATCTAGGGTTTTTTTTTAAAGATAAATCCGACTATATCAAATATTATACTCTTTAGATTGGAAAAGAAGTAATTATTTTAGTGAATTGTATTATTCTTGGTTATTTATATAAATAAATAACAAGAAAATCTAATAAATTTTAGTTTATAAAATTATTATAATATATTTCGAAATGAATGAATCGTCATATTTTACCTTTATATGAATACTATGACAATATTTCATATACCTTCAATCAGATATGTTTACAATTGAATGTCTTTTACGCACTACTGACACTACATAGCTGTTGATGCCAAGCTACAGTTCTGAGATTTCTTATATTTTTACTACATGGTTCATTTATTTAGGAGAAAATATATATGGCAGCAGGGGAAAAAAGTAATAATATTTATGTTTTGATTCATGTTTCATGCCATATTAATTATCATTACAGTAGTTTTAGGATGTGATTGTGAGTATTGTCTACTGAAAAGTTTTAGAGAATAAAATCGATTGAAATTTTAAAATCCCATGCCCAAAATCGAGATTGATAATCGGATTTTTCAGCACCAAAATCCAAACTATAATCGATTGAAACCAACACAGCTAATCAATGCCAATCAATTATATTAGTCTATAATCGATTGATATTGACCCTAGTCTTGATTATAATCAATTAAAATTCTGATTTTGGTGTAGGAAAATCCGATTATGTATTTTGATCATCATCAATTGTCATATCGATTATTTTGTACAATAATCAGATTACTGTTCACTTCAAAATGAAAGGCACATGGGTACTTTTTGAATGAATTTTGATAGGAACACAATAGGCAGCTGCGGTTTCAGTCGTTGGAAAGAGGTTGATTCAGCGCATCAACTCATGTAAAATTGTGAAGGTTTATCTCAAAAATAAGGTAGTGATCTATTGTTATCTTAAAGAGTAGACTATTGCTCTTTGAAAGTAGAACAAATCTTAAAGTTTGAAAGTGTGCTAGAATCACCAGCTCAAGAACTATAAAACTGTATATAACATTTTATTCAAAGCTTTACTCGCTTGGGAGTTCTAAGTACTATATTCGAAAATTATAGTCCATTTTGCCAGCGATTTCTGTTAAAAAACTGAGTTTTTTTCGTTTTTCCTGGAATACCAGACCTATTCTTAAAGCATGTTTTTCGTTCAACTATTGCAAAAGGTTTCAAAATGCAAGTTAAAAGTCATTGTCGTATATGATTTGGTGCATGTTCATCTGCTCTTTCTAACGGTTAAAACAGCAGCTCTCTATCTTCTTCCTATCAAACGCTATTCAAAAAATGCTCACGTACCTTTTATTTTGAAATGGGCAGTAGTTTTTTCTATTATGGCCGTCCATAATCAATCAGGAGAATTTTAATTGATTACGATGCCGATGTGAGTGTGAATTAATACTACAGAAGTACACCTACACTTCTTCTCACAACCGAAACCCCCACTCACACTCATCTTGACGCACACTCCACATCCAATCGACGTGAAGCTACTAGGACGGATTTAGGTGATCTCTGAATCTTCAAGCTTTTAATTCAGAAACATAGGACCTGCATGAGTGTGTTGGACATGTCCTTCTGAGCACTCTCACACAGGTCCTAGTGTATGAATCCTATAGTTGAGAATTTGCAGGCCACCTAAATCCGTCGTACTAGCTTCACGTCGATCCATATGCACACCCATACCCTTGCAATATTGGCTACTAGCTGTGTTGAAGACTATAAAGAACTTTAAAATATCAAAGGACCGAATATACAGTCGAGGGTGAAGTAAGTTACTCGGACAAGTATTGCTTGTGTTCTAGCAATGATAGATCACTTATGTTTCGATATACTGAATGGCCATGACTATTGGCTACCGTTTACTCTAAACTCAGCTAATCGTGTTAATACGTTGATATTTGATGCAATTGCACCTGGTGGTGATATTCGTGTTACACTCAGTCCAATAAATACCAAATCGACGTATCAAACAGACATACCAGTTTATAATCTGGCTATTGGTGGTTGTTGTAACTCTTCATCATATATTCGTAGAACAAATAACTCCAATGCAGCAAAAGTTGTTCAATCATCTGCTGTTGAATGTCTGGCAGATAAGAATCGATGCACATATTGGTTTTCGTTCGATTCTCAAACTGGTTGGGTTAGTTTTGGAAAAGGAACTGATACAAGTTTATCAAAAGCACTACTGAAATGGCAAGATCCATCACCATTGTTGAATCTGAAGTATGTTGGTTTAAGTAATTATAACTACAAAATCAACTTTTACAACATTCGACTCGCAACCTCGACCAGTTTACCGCCAGCTCCTCGTAGACTTTTGCCATTATTTATTGATGCTGAAAATCTGGTAAAATCGACATTTCCAAACATTGCAACATTGACACCACCACAGCTGTCACAAGTGAGACTTCTAGCTGCTTGGTTGAAAGCATCTAGTGCACAAAAGCGACTTGATCTTTGTTCGGGAGCAATAGAGGAAACTGAAACTGTTGTTTCGGTGTTTAACACTTTACTCGAATCTTTCGGTATCAAAGCTGGTATAACTGAAAAAAGCAATGATGATTCATATTTGAAACAAAGATATATGGGTGGGCTGGAGTATGCAAGTCAAACAATGCGTCTGTCATTTCCAACTTCTTCCATATTCGCATTAGAAAGTCAAGATCAACAATTGTACTCATCCGCAAACGAAATCGAACTAAATTTACTTGGAAATACACAGTTAATTCCTGTTGGCTCGAGCCAACGCCAAATATTCGTGGAATGTTTTGAACAAGATATAGCCAGTGCTATTGATATTCACCCAAATGCCGTTCTTATAAAGGAGATCATATCCAATACTGAAGGGTTGACAATAGTTATGGTGATCACAACCGATCCTGTATCACAAAAATCAGGATCTAATTCGCTGAATGAACTCATACAACAAGTATCAAACAAAAACTCAAAGATATTCGGTGGAATCGTTTCTCGTTCTATCATCTCCTACAATAAAACCAGTGTGAAAACTGTTCCTATCTTTCAATATTTTGAATTGTCGCCCGAGGATTTCAATACCCAATACAATAAAGACTATACTTATATGAAATTGGCTCCTATGAAGCAGAAGGGCATTTGGGTGAATATCAATAGCACTGGCTATATCTTGTTCAAAACA